CTTTTTTTACATATATGATCTTGTAAATTGAAAATTAAGGTATTTAATAATTATCTAAAAGCATTCTGACATCCTCTCATATCAAAGACATTTTAATGATACTGTCTAGCTAGGATCAGAATTTAGCATATTTCAGAAAGAATTCTCCAAAAAGAAATAATGAACAAGGAAGGATTTTTTGCTTAATTCTGAGTTAACCGGAAAATTAAATTATACAGAACACCCTGTTTCCTGAGTATCCCAATTATTCACGCTTCTATAATAATTCACTCTTCAATGCTGAATAACACAGTCATATTACAACTACTAGATCTGTATGTGAATAAAAATTTTAATTTCCAGGAGCCAGAGAAGCAGCTCAGTTTGTAGCATTTACCTAGCATGCACAAAGTCCTGGGTTAGAGCACCAGCACCCCCTAAACCAGGCAGTGCAAGTAGAAAGACCACAAGTTCAAAGTCACTTTAACAGTAAATTAAAAGTCATCCTAGTCTACATGAAATGCTATACAAAAAAAATCTAAATATCACAATCGATGCATACAAAGAAATTATGTTGTCTGGATATCACAGGGTGTTGCACAGCATTTATGACAGCATGCACAAGACCTGTATAAGCCTAAGTGAGACAGGGGTTCAGCATGGGCTGGGGGAGGGAAGTAGACAGGTATCTCCAGACCTAGCTGAGAATCTAGTAGCATTTGGTGGATGCTGGGAGAGGGAGAGTTTGCTTTCCTTACTGGTATAATACCTGATAGGTTGGCCAGACTCCCAAGGAGGATAGACTCACCCCCAAGAGCACTTGGGAAACACAAATTAGACTCAGTGTGCCTTAAGAAAAAGGCAAATAATAATAGAGGATAGGAAATGGGGGTTAGTAAGATTGCAGTAGGGATGGGGGAGGTGGTCTGATTAGCAATAAAATATATGAAATTCTCAAATCAATTAAAATGTATTTTAATTCTAAAAGTTCTTAAAGAAATATTATAGTGACCATTTTCTTAAATGTTCAAACTATTTAATGCTGTGTGTCAGTGACCCCAGTAAATGTCCACTCGGGCTCTAATATATCCATTGCAGTGTTCTGAGAGGTATGGAGGAGCCAAGACCCAAGAACATTTGTTTTTTGAGCTTAAATGGCTTAATGTTAAAAAGGTCATATAGACCTGCATAAAAAGCCATAAAACAAGGTAGAAAAATAAGGGCTAGAAAGCTGATAGATGCAATAATATTGGAAGTGAGAAAAAAAGTGGAATTTAAGCTGGCTAGAATTTACGTGGAGTTTTGCAGGAGAAGGTACTTATCGATGAGGATTTGGGTTGGGTAAACACTCCATACAATGGGGAGAAAGAAAAACTGTTCCTGAACAGAATAAATACTAGCCCAGTTTGGGTGGCTTGCAGAGTATGTGGAGGGAAAATGTAAGCCTAGGTTCAGATAGAGGCTGAAGCTTACTAGAAGACAGCTGTCATCTTTCAGTATTTGGGATCAAATCCAATGTATTATGCATATTAGACAAGCAATCTTACACTGACTATATCCCTAGCTCAACCGGTGGGATTCACTACCTAGCTTAACTGGGAATTTAGCTGCAGCAAGAAAGAACTGGTGAAAGTTTCTGAGGAGAAAGCTGAAGATACTGGAAGTTTACTCAAAGGCTTGAGGAAATGGCAACAACACATGAGTCAGCACACGGAATGCCACACAATCAAATGACAGCTCTGAAGATTATTTCAGAATCTCAACAGTGCGACCACTCTGCAAAACATTATTGAAATGCTTCTCTTAGAACTGTCTGCAGAGTCCATCCCATATCCCATAAGCTCATAAATCCATTTGATTGTATCTTGCTTAAGAGTTAAAATTGGAGAAAATGTTTACAAAATATTCATATGACCAGGGATAAATAATCAGAATATAAGAGGAAATCCCACACTCGAGAGCAAACAATTGCAGTTTAAATTTTGCCAATTTAAACATGGTCCAAAATCTAAATAGGCATTTCTGAAATTAAGACACGTGAACGAACAACAAATACTTCAGAAAAGCTCGTTATTAGGTGAAATGGTGATTACTAGAGTTTAAAGAGAACAGAGTAAGAAGGGAGGAAAGTTGTTCAATGGGTACACAGTCATATTTGGATAAGAGAAATAAAGTCTGATGTTCTGTTGTATTTCAGGGCGGTTACAGATGATAGTATAATATGTACTTCAAAAAAAATAAGAGAAAAGGATTTGAATGATTCAGGACAAAGAAATGGTATTTTGCTTTGTTTGAACACCATACAATTTATACATGTACCAAAAATTTTCTTGATAACCTATAAATGTGTGCAATGTAAATTAAAATTATTCAAAATAGTCACTATCACTAATAATCAGGCAAGGTGAATCAAAACTACAGTCAGATACCATCGACTTCACTTACGATAGCTCATTAAAAATAAAATAAGAAATGCTGATAGCATGCAAAGAAGGGGTCTATTAAGTTGTTGGTACCGTGTCCACGGACTGATGAATGGATATATAAAATATGGTATATATAAACAATGGATATTTTTCAGCCATAAAGAGTAAACCTAGTCATCTATAGGACATAATTGGAGGATGTCATAAATGAAATTATAGTTAAAGACATAGGTTGGCTAAACAGGAGCTGAAAGGAAAGTATTGCATGTTCTCACTCATTTGAGGAAGAAAAATCAAACAAACACAAATCTGTGTCTGAGAAGAAAGTGGAATGCTGGTCACTGCGGACTGTGAAAAGGGAACGAAAGATGGTACCAAATCACAGCTAGACAATAGGAATTGTTATTCTGTAGCACAGTACAGTGACTGTACTCTACAACATACATAAATGTTAAACTAACTAGAAAAGTCAAAAAGTTTCCAACACACAAAAATAATGAGTGTTTAAGGGGGTCGTTAATTACCGACATGATCGTTACACATTGGATATCAAGTCCTGTAATACTTTATCCCATGAATCCACACAAATAATTGTGCCAATTTTTTATTATATATATTTTTTATTTTTTAGAAGAAGCATTTCATTACACCTTTAACATACTCAATAATAGTTTCCAGAGCAAAGATACATCTCTTTCAAAAGTGGCTATAAAATGTTTATGTTCACTGTAGAATCAATACAGTTATACAATATTGAACTCAGTATAAACCCTGTAAGATATAAAATTGAATGAGTTTTTAACCTTTAAAAAAGATCTCCATTTCATTTTAAAATATACTGTTTCTTACAGAAAGACTCATTGTTTCTGCTAATAACCCTGAGATGTTGGCGCATGCATCTCTAAATCTGTATGTGTCTGATTGTTACTAGTCATAATCGGATGCGCTTGGATTCTTGGCACCTGTGTATGTCTAGAAAGTCGTTGGGCAGATTTCAATGGTAATGTTTATCACCTCTACTAATTAACATAATGTAAACTTGTATGTTTCCTCCTCAAATATAATTCATTTTATTTTAATTTGTTGATGTGTGTG